ACCATAAGTACCGTATCATTTCTGCTCATGGCGGCTACTATAGAGAGATATCTTCACAGTACTAGTGATAGCAAGTAAGTTCTAGTCAGAAAATAATTTTTTGATAGGTCCAATGTGGAATAGATAACGAAAAAAAATTGGAAAAATCAATACATATGGAATTTGAATTGCCTATCCAAATTAAATAATTAGGATGAACGACTAGGAAGTGAGGAAATCAGACCATAATGCTAAACTGTAGTATTTTTGAAGGTTTTTGTGGCAAATGTATTTTGAATAGTCAAGAAATGAACTCAAACAAATAATTATTTAAGCACGAGATCTGATGGTTTCTACTTTTCTTAGAGATTTGAGCCATGAAGTCACTCCTTTGGTGGATTATTAACTGTTTTGGAAAGCCCTTTTTTATGTGCCGTTCTGTAATTTCTCTTTGTAATCTTCAAGGATTTTTTTTACTATGTGAGGCATCCTCATCGTACCACTTCCAGGACTGGAGGTTTATTCTATCTGCTTTCTCGACATCGTGCACGTGTTGTAGTAATCTGTTTCGCTGCCAGCTGCGTTTTTAGAGGAACAATTTTTTTCGAAGTAAAAGTAAGTTGAATGAAAAAACTTCTCGTTTTCTTTGCAAGAAATAGTATTTTCCAGCTACAACATGTTTCACAATGTGAAGGCTTCTCAAGCATGAGTTTAGCAACATCAAGGATTTTTGCTAATCCACTTTACGATGAAATTTGGAAGTTCTGGATTCGCAAAATCGTTACCGTCATTGTGCCTTTTGTTGGTGAGTACTGATAGAACGGCCAATAATAGGCATAAACTACTGAGGCTCAATTTTGAGTCACTGTTGTTCATTTGTAACTTTAGACATGAAGAAAAATATGTAATGTTTGTACATCACATAACTTTCTAATCTTTCTGTTCTGTCTTTACAAGAACCATCACAATTTCGTGTATAATTTCTATGCATAATTCTTAAATTTTTAGCACTGGCTTGGTTCAATCTCGCCATTGTTCTGAACGTTCGCAACAGTGATCGGGATCAAACTGTCAAAGCTTTGGTGATGTTCACAACTGTGGGCACGAGGTAAATTTGCATAAATTATTGTGTTTTTCAGTGAAAAATCAATACAGAAATTTCATTCGGGAAGGAATGGAGCGAGAATCATCATAGAAAGGCTGTAGATCTTACGAAAAAATGTGCATAGAGCTATTTATCTCGGTACAAATTCTAAGTTCAAAGACTCTTAATGAAAAGAGTATAGGATTATTTCTGATGAGACATATTCGAAACGATGAAAATTATATCACATTTGCATCATATACGTAAAACAGCTAAAATTAGGGTCTTTTGAATTTTTTATGGTTTTGTAGTGCGACCTTTATTACAATCTTTTTTTGCAACTCCTTCACAGTCGAGCTGCTAATTCTCATTTTTTTGTTTATTGCATTTTTTATTGCAGAGCTGAAGTAACAAAACTTCGATCACGTCTTCGAACTGTCACGAGAATGCTTGTGATGGTAGTCTGCTGCTATCTCGCTGCCAATATCAT